CTTCGTGCCTAGGCGTTGATAGAGGTCATCATAGGCCTGACCCTTCGCTACACTCACGGTACGCTTTGCAGCCCTTCTCACTATTTTATAGCTCTCAATGTTGGTTGCACTCTTGTCGAGGTAAAGACGCTTGAAACACTCTTTCTTCTCTTGAATAGCCCTTTGCACCTCGTCATTCCACCACCAAGTGTCTTTCGCATCCTGCTTGCTTCCCCTACTCACACCAACTACTTCTGCAGCCACCTTCCGAACACATGTTGCCATCTTTAGCCACATGTCATCTGCATCTTCTTCTTCTTCCCAAGGCCCCTCGCCTAGCATCCTATCCCTAAACGTCTGCGCCACTTCCCCTTTAAACTTCCACCACTTCGTTCTCACGGTATTGGCACATTTGTCCCGGTGGACATGTACTCAGAATCGAAAGTCCGCCACCACCAGCTTATGCTGGGGGACAACACACTCCCCAGGTATCACCTTGCAATCTACGCAGGCGCGTCTATCCTCCCTCCTTGCAAGGATAAAGTCGATCTGACTTGAGTGACGTCCACTATGGAAGGTCACTAGGTGAGATTCTCTCTTCCTAAAGAGGGTGTTCGCTATCAGCAAGTCGTAGGCCAACGCAAAGTCCAACACACCCTCCCCCTCTTCATTCCTACTACCATACCCAAATCCTCCGTGTACTCTCTCGAAACCTATATTAGTCGCGCCCACATGTCCGTTGAGGTCTCCTCATACGAAGAGCTTCTAGCTGACAGGCACCGTACTGACCAAGGTGTCCAGATCTTCCAAGAATTGCCTCTTGGCGCTCTCACTAAGACCTACCTGAGGGGCATAGGCACTGATTACATTCATGGTCACATCCCCAACTACCAATCGGACTAGGATAATCCGGTCGCCTTGTCTCCTAACATCTACAACTCCATCCTTAAGGCTCATATCGATCAGGATGCCTACACCATTCCTACTCGATGAAGCCCCAGTGAACCAAAGCTTGAAGCCAGTATCCTCCACTTCCTTCGTCTTCTGCCCCTTCCATTTAGTCTCCTGGACGCATAGGATATTAACACGCCTCCTAATAGCTGCATCGACTAGCTCACGAAGCTTACCCGTTAGGGACCCTACTTTCCAACTACCTATCCGGACCCTTGTTGGTTCGACTAGCTTCCTTGCCCTTCGCACCCGTCGAGAGAGATGCGAAGACCCTTGCTTATTTTCCACTACACCCGGGCGCCGATGTAGCGCGCCACTAAGGAAATGACGACCCGGTCCTTGCTCACTTAACACCATGCCCAAACCACGACATGACGCGTCCCTGAGGGGGAGACGACCCGGCCCTTGCCCATTTGACACCATACTCGGGTTTCGATATGGCGCGTCGCTAAGAGGGTTACGCCCCAACGAATATCTATTGTGTTTCATCTCCATAAAATGGCTAGGTTTTACGTTGGCTCGCCAAGCCTATCACAACCCTCCTCCTTTACCAGGGCTTGGGACCTGCTATGTTGAGACAACATAGGCGGAGTTAGAAATAAGGATTGAAGACGAAATTTGATTTTTATTTGACTCTATTTTAGAGTAGAATAAAATCCGCACTAAAGTAGAGATAAAGCTGGAGATAGTGAGCTTAGGGTCACAAAGGGGCACAATTGAATCTATATTCAAAATGAAAGGCAGTGACGTATCATTTTCAAAATGTATGGACTGAATAAGCAATTAGCCCTAATAAGAGTCACTACCATCATCTCATTCTCCCACCAAAGGAGTATAAAAACCCATCTGCGTGCAGTACACACTTTCCTCTCTGCTACAAAAATGGACGCCGCGCAAGAAGCCCAGAAGAGGGAGGCTTTCCGGCAAGCCGTCGTGAACACGCTTGAGCGCCGCCTGTTTTACATTCCTTCGTTCAAGATCTACCGTGGAGTGGCTGGGCTCTACGATTATGGCCCCCCAGGTTGCGCCGTCAAGGCCAACGTCCTCGCTTTCTGGCGCCAGGTGCCGGCGTTTTTCTCAATTTCTTGGATATTTTTTTCTTATTGATTGTTTAACGGTATTATTGTACTCATTCACTAATAATTGACTTTCTCGAATTTTGTGTTCTCTTAGCTGTGAGTCTGCGAGTTCTTTATTTGCTTGTTGAATGGGGTTTTGTTTTTGTTGATACATTGTGGTAGTTATTTGTTTTAGCATTGGGTAACATGCTAAAGGTTGGATAGCAGTGGGAATATTTCTTGAACTTTGTCTTTCTATTGAGCAAATAGTATAGTTTTCTGCCGATTATTTCTCTGCTTTTAGTGGCATATATACTTGTAGTTGAATGATCGAGTGCCTGCTATGTACTCCGCTATTAATCTGATGCCAAAGTTATAGTCTGTGATGCCTGATGCTGATGAGTAATCAAATTATCTTCTCAAATGTGATAATTACTACACCCACATTTGGATCATTGGATGTGCTTACAAAGATTCATGATGAGCCACAGAGTTTGTTTATTCTTTTGATGTGCTGTCTTGTTGTGGTTCTTCTAGAATATAAATTAATTACATTCTTGTTCGTCTGCCTACTTTGAGTTTGCTGTTGTAAGCCCATTCAATTTGCAGCATTTTGTACTCGAGGAGAACATGTTGGAAGTCGATTGCCCGTGTGTTACCCCTGAGGTAGTCCTGAAGGCATCGGGTCATGTTGAAAAGTTCACTGACCTTATGGTCAAAGATGAAAAAACTGGAACATGCTACCGAGCGGATCATTTGCTCAAGGATTATTGCAAAGAGAAGCTTGAGAAAGATGCTAACTTGAGTGCCGAGAAGACAGCAGAACTGAAGCATGTGCTTGCCATGTTGGACGATTTCTCTCCTGAAGAGCTTGGTGCAAAGATCAAAGGATATGGAATAACTGCTCCTGACACTAAAAATGCGCTCTCTGACCCTTATCCTTTTAATTTAATGTTTCAGACGTCAATAGGCCCATCTGGACTAAGCCACGGGTGAGAATGCTTTTATAGATAGAAGCATTAAATCTTCCTTAATCATTGGATTGAAGGATAACTACCATACCACCCCTGAGATTCAGTCTAACTACAGAGACTCTAATTTTCTTTAAAGATTTTGAATGTCCTCGTGAGATTTGAGATTTGTGTTTTTCTAATAAATGCCCTCCTCTTGATTGGGCCATCTCTAAGATTAATAAAGGATGCCCAGTGGGTCTTGTAATATTGAAAAATTGGGTGTCTTCTTTGTAAGGATATAAACCTGAAGAGTATTTGTTACTATCCTCTGATATGAATCTCTCTCTTTTTGAGTTCGGTTTTTCTTTGTGTTTATTCTCCATGCTTACTTTCTGCAGATACATGCGTCCTGAAACTGCTCAGGGTATTTTTGTTAACTTCAAGGACTTGTACTACTACAACGGCAACAAGCTTCCGTTTGCAGCTGCACAGATTGGCCAAGCTTTTAGAAATGAGGTCTTTTTAAATGTCATAACTTTTATTAACGTAATTTTTTGCATCTGTTCGTTGTTGGGGTATTCACATGATCATGAACTCAACTGAACCTTAGGTATAATATTAGACTATTAGTTTGAATGGGCTATTACTCTACCATCAACCTTGCTGTATTTTCTGGCTACTAGGAATGTGATTTTACAACACATGAATGAAACATGTTGTTAATATGACATTCTGTGGCCTCAATATGCTAATGCTCTTATGTCAACTTCGTCGGAAAATGAACTCTTATTGAACGTTCACGAGGGGAATCAGTACACAACTTGCAGTGAACTCAAGTTTTAGCTTTTCGGAACATTTGGTTTAGCTTGTAGTTAATCAGTGGTTTGCAAACATGATATCCTTTTTTTT